TCGTCGAGCCCGAGCAAAAAATGATGAGTCTTCTCCTGTTCCTCGCGCGCCCGAATCAAAGCCGCAGCCTCACACCGGCAACCACACGTTGGATCAACAGATCCATATAGCTTGTTCCACAAAGTCACAAATTGGTTATAGTAGACAACCACAGTTTGTCCCTTTTGACGCAAAGATTGAAACTCAGATTTCAATTGGTGAATACGAGGTCCATTGGAACCTCCATATCTGGTCTTCAGATCTAACCATAATTCATGAGCAATTTTATGGGAGATAATGGAAGGTTGGATGTGTTCATCAACACTGTTACAGATCCAAGAACAAATTATGGAATTATTAGCTTTCCATGCCGCCAATTCCTGTTCATCAGTGGGTTTAGGAAACCCGGAAGGATTGAGAAAACCTGCTCTACTACGCCCTTCTAGAGCATTAATAATTGTTTTCTCCCAAATATCATAATTATCACCTTTGAGAAGATGCTTCGTCAAGGAATTACCCACACTTTCGGACAGGTGGATGTAGTACGGAGAGGTAGGGTCGTGGATGAGCCTGACCTTCTTTTTTCCTTCGCTTGCCATGGAAACGAAGATAGTACCGGCGTGAGACGGTGATTATGAGTCCGACGTGAGCCGGCGCTGCAGCGGTGGTGATCGACGTGAGCCGATCGAAGAGTGGCGACCGTGGTGTGGCGGCCGGCGAAGCAACGGTGGCGGCACCGTGCGTGAGAAAAAAAAACCTAGGGTTTGAGAAGGTCCCGGGAAATTGGCTTTGATACCATGTAGAATTTTGGAAAAACTGAACTGCCTTTCATTCAATATTCACAACGTATATATACATGTGCCAAGTCCTACTCCAAGTATGGAAAGGACTATTAACAAGGAAACTAATTACACTACTAACAAGGAAACTAATTACAAAGGAAACTAATTACATATATGGTAGTAAATAAATATATATGCTAACAGGATTGCTGAGGCAATTTGGTCGGCCATTAAAAAGTACACGTACTAATGCCAAATGCTCCTTATTACATTTTCAGAAATAGTAAAATTTTAATTATGCAATTAACCTGCATTATCCGCCATAATTTAAAGCCCATGTTAATATATTTTCCTTGCATTCAATAAATATTTTTCTTTTTTTGCCCTTATATTTATTCTAACAAGATGAATAGATAGATTTAGATTAAAGAAGTGATGTGTTAGAGGCCATTCTAATAAGATAAATCACATGAATTTTAAAAATAAGCTTTGAAGCAAAAGAATGTTTTGATTCCCAATTTTAAACCATGGGGGATGCTAGAGGAATTTGGCAAGCCACTATAAGTTTCACAAACTAATGCCAAATACTTCGTATCACATTTTCAAAAATAGTAAATTTTTAAGTACGCAATTAATATACATTATTCATCATTTTTTAAAGCCCAAGTAAAAATATATTCCCACCATCCAATACAATTTTTTCTTCGTTTGTCCTTTTACCTATTCTAATGAGATAATTAGATTGATAAGAAAGAAGTGATGTGTTGAATGATATTCTAATAATGAGATAAACCATATTAATTTCAAAAAGAAGTTTTGAAACAAATTGAGATTTTGATACCCAAATTTTAAACCACTAGGGATGCCACCAACCAATAAAAGTTACACAAACTAATGCCAAATACTCTATATTACATTTTCAGAAATAGTAAACCTTTAATTATGCAACTAATATGCATTATCCTCCATAATTTAAAGCTCATATTAATATATATTCCTCCAATCTCATCCAATAAATTTTTTTCTTTGTTTGCCCTTATATTGTTCTAATGAGATAATTAGATTGAGATGAAAGAAGTGATATGTTAAAAGTCATTCTAATGAGATAACCACATGAATTTTAAAAATAAGTTTCAGATGCCCAATTTTTTAACCACGGGGATCCTTGTGCAATTTGGTGGGCCAATAAATGTTACACAAACTAATGCCTAATACTCCGAATTACATTTTTTGAAATAGTAAACTTTTAATTATGCAATTAACCTGCATTATTTATCATGATTTAAAGTTTGTGTTAATATATACTCCTACCGTCCAATAATTATTCTTCTTTGTTTGCTCTTATATCTATTCTAATGAGATAATTATATATATTGAGAGGAAAGAAGTAATGTGTTGGAGGCTATTCAAATGAGATAAACCGCAAAAAACTGGAAAAATTTGGCAATCTATTACAAGTTACACAAAATAATGTGAAATACTCCATATTACATTTTTAGAAATAGTAAACTTTTAATTATGCAATAAACCTGCATTATCTGTCATAATTTAAAGCCCATGTTAATATATATACTCCTCCCATCCAATAAATATTTTCCTTTGTTTGCCCTTATATATATTCTAATGAGATAATTAGCTTGAGATGAAAGAAGTAATGTGTTGGAGGCCATTCTAATGATATAAACTACAAGAATTACTAAAATAAGTTTTGAAATAAAAGAGAGTTTTGTTGCCCAATTTTTAAACCATGAGGAGTGCTCGAGCAATTTCGTTGGCCATTAAAAGTTTCACAATCTAATGCCTAATACTCCGTATTACATTTCCAGAAATAGTAAACTTTTAATTATGCTATTAGCATGCGTTATCTGCCATAATTTAAAGCCTGTGTTAATATATACTTCTGCCATCCAATAAATAATTTTCTTTGTTTGCCATTATATTTATTCTAATGAGGTAATTAGATTGAGACGAAAGAAGTGATGTGTTGGAGGCCATTTTAATGAGATAAACCACATGAATTTTAAGAATAAGTTTTGAAACAAAAGAGATTTTTCATGCCCAATTTTTAAACCACATGTGATGCTTGAGCAATTTGGCGAGCCATTAAAAATTACACAAACTAATGCCAAATACTTCATATTACAATATCAGAAATAATAAACTTTTAAGTATGCAATTAATCTATATTATTCATCATAAAATAAAGCCCATGTTAATATATAATCTTACCATCTAAGAAATATTTTTCTTTGTTTTCCCTTAAGATAAATCATATGAATTTTAAAAACAAGTTTTTTTTAAAAAAAAGGATTTTGATGCCCTATTTTTAAACAGCGGGGGATGTTGGAGCACTTTGGCTGGGCATTAAAAGTTATACAAACTAATGCTGAATACATCGTTTACATTTTCAAAAATAGTACTCCCTCCGTCCCAAAAAGATCGTTACGTTTCATTTCTTTGCGCATCACAAAAAGCAATGCTACTCACATCTAAAATTTCTAAAATTTACCATATTTACTCTTTATTATAAGATGAAATTGTTTTGAAAGTTTTTTTGGCATTTGAGACGATATAAAAATATTTTAAGGGATGCGCAAAGAAATGAAACGTAATGATCTTTTTGGAACGGAGGGAGTAATAAACTTCTAATAATGCATTTAACCTGTATTATTGGTCATAATTTAAAGCCCGTGTTAATATTCCCATCCAATAAACACTTTTCTTTGTTTGCCCTTATATATATTTTGATGAGATAACTAGATTGAAATGAAATGAAGGGGATTTTCATGCCCAATTTAGAAACCTCGGGGATGCCTAGCAATTTGACCAACCATTAATGTTACAACGAATGCCAAATACTCCATATTACATTTTCAGAAATAGTAAACTTTTAATTATGCAATTAAGTGCATTATATGTCATAATTTAAAGCCCATTTTAATATATACTCCTCCCTTCAAATAAATATTTTTCTTTGTTTGCCTTTATATTTATTCTAATGAGATTATTAGATTGAGATGGAAGAAGTGATGTCACTGATGTGTTGGAGGCCATTTTAATTAGATAAACCACACGAGAACATGAACTTTTAATCATGCAATTAACATGCATTATTGGCTATTGTTTATAGCCCGTGTTAGTATATACTCCCACCATCCAATAAATATTTTTTTGTTTGTTTCTCCTTATACCTATTCTAATGAGATAATTAGATTGAAAAGAAAGAAGTGATGTGTTGAAGGTCATACTAATGAGATAAACCACATTAATTTTAAAAAGAAGTTTTGAAACAAAATGAGATTTTGATGCCTAATTTTTAAACCATGGGGAATGCTGGAGCAATTTGGTCGGCCATTAAAAGTTACACAAACTATTGTCAAATACTCTGTATTACATTTTCAGAAATAGTAAACCTTTAATTATACAATTAACCTACATTATCTCCATTATGTAAAGCCCATGTTAATATATACTCCAGTATCATCCAATAAATATTTTTCTTTATTTGCCTATATATTTATTCTAATGAGATAATTCTATTGAGATGAAAGAATTGATGTGCTTGAGGCCATTCTAATGAGATAAACCACACGAATTTTAAAATAAATTTTGAAATAAAAGGGACTTTTGATGCCTAATTTTAAAACCATCACGTATGGTAGGGCAATTTGGCCGGCCATTTATAGTTACAAAAACTAATACTTTGTATTACATTTTGTTTCCCCTTAATTACATTAATTCAAATGAGATAATTAGATTGAGATGAAAGAAGTGGTGTGTTGGAAAATATTCTAATGAGATAATTAGATTGAGATAAAAAAAAGTGATGAGTAGGAGATTGTAAGTAATAGATTTAAAGTCGATTCAATCTTTAAAGTTGACTTGAAGGATTGATATGCCAAAGCTATTATATAGGGCAAAATATTAGGTTGCACAATCGATGTTGGAAGAGTTGAACTCTACCAACCCCCCCTCAGGTCACAGGAGGCACAAATAATTGCAGGCATTTTCAACTTCAATGACCTTATAGCTCTAATACCATGCAAATGATATGCTTGGGCTTAACTAAAAAACTATCATAAACCGTATAAAATTAGTTAGGTTACATGCTAATGTGGGAAGAGTTAAGCTCTACAGAGGCACCATAATACGGAACTCCAAAAGAAGGTGAATGGAATTATTACCTAAAATTGTAAAAAATAAATCACAACTTTTTTCACTAAGTGCTCTCTGTGTATAAAGCTTGATCTCATAACATGCAAACACATGAGAAAAGATAAAGAGGGTAAAGCAACAAACACATGTTAAATCTTAGTCTGACCAACCTCCAGGTTTACATTCAGTCCGTCTCTGAGATTTTTACTAACTATTAATTTATCCTCTAAACTTAACAGTGTTTGAAATACCAAACAACTCAAGAATTTGTATTTACAAACTATTAGTGAGTATTTCTTGTAAATATGTTAAGTAATGTATCTCATATGTGTGTTTTGGCATTATGTGTTATGTTCATAATATTCAGCGTCCACTAAATATATTTCGCCCTCGCATTGTCAAATGTATGTTTGTTGGTAATCCAACAAGTACAAAAGGTTGGAAGATTTATGATCTCGAGTCTCATCATTTTTTCATAGCTGGGATATTATGTTTGACAAATCAGTCTTTACCTTTACCATCAAGCATTAAGCTAGTTCAAATGACCCCACATGTGTCAATTTTCGAGTTGAATTGCATACAATATGTCTGTCCATACCCTAACACCAGCCCAACCCTCAACATGTGACTTCCCCTAGGCTGACCTATGCATCAGCTCACGGTGACGGCCAAACTGTTGGCCCGACAGTCCACTGTCGCCACCCCCCTCACCTGGCCAACTTGTGATTGTCGTGCTCCCTCTCATTTGTCTAATTATATATGTCACACAGTCCAGACCATGAACTTCATTGCTTATTCATCTAAATCGTCTCGATCTTCAGGTATACTTTATCCTATCACTAACTTCGTTCATTATGAGAAAATACATGATATGTACTAAGGTTTTCTAGTTACTATGTCTTCAAATTTCAAATAAGCCTTAGGTTGTCAATGGGAGTGAAATTACAGACCTTCTACATGATAGTAAGACTTTAGGCTGTCAAAATGGGTGCACGATAACAAATTCTACTATGATGGTACTAAAAAGCGTGATAAAGCCCATCTTGTTGTCTTGGGCAACTATCCGGTGTATGACACTGATTATACACATAGTTTTTCTCTTGTAGTCAACATGGGGACGATACATATTCTTTTATTTGTTGCAGCAACACGTACAAGGTTGGGAGATTCATGAACTTGATGTGAATATTGCTTTTAGAGATGGTGATTTTGATAGGATGAGGAGGTTCATACGCGTTTTCTTCTTGGCTACTCTCATTATGTTCCGGGGAAGGTATGTTGGTTGCACAAGTCTTTGTATGGCTTGAAGCAATCTCATCGTAATTGATTTGTTAAGTCGAGTACTGCTCTACATCAGTGGGGGTTCAAACATGTTCATAATGATCATATTCATGTTATTCTCCGTCGTAAGCATGATATTCTTCTCGTCAAACCCGCCATTACATATGACCTAAGAACAATCTCAACTCGTGTGTCTTGAGAGTTGTGACACCACTTTAAAGGGAAATAATATTTACACTTTAATTCTTTATATTGGCATTCCAAAATGATTATTCACCTCTCACAAATGAAATGCAAATACCAAAAAGTTTGTTTTAAATTATGTTTTCACGCCCC